TTTTAGGCATAAGAAATTTTTAAAAATAACACTTAATACCCAGGAAAAAAAATTGTTACATAATGTTACCTGAACCTGGTCCTGGGCCTCCCCTAAGTCGACTCAGACTCAAATGAGTACCTGGTGCGTTGTGTAAAAACATCGCCACTGGGGAGACAAAGGCGGTCGGGCGTGGTGGCTATACAGGGGATCATTGTCTTTGTACTTTCCTGTTGGTATTGTCTGTACTGGATATGCATGTACATTCAATTTCTTTCGCACCGTACGTGGCCAACCGTGCTAGAGATGCCGCGACTCTAAGGCTCTTTGTTCCTCTCACACAGCTTAAAAGCCGTGATCTGAACGTGGCTCTCTCACTCCAGCGCTGTCCTACCAGACAGTCTCGCTCCCTTCACCTGATGAAGGCCGCTTGTGTTGTGGCCGAAACGTCGTGAGAATATTATTGTTATTTTATTTTATCAATTTATTATTTTATTCTCATTCAACGTGACTTTACCGAAAGAACCAAAGAAGATGAATCATTGCAGTCACGAAAGCTTTAAATCGAAATTTAACCGCCTCTACGGGGAGGGATTCCACACATCCTTAAGATCATTCAACAGACTTCGGGATAAGAAGGCTCAACTAATCGAGTCTCTCACCTTTCTGAAGAGATGCCGCGACTCTAAGGCTCTTTGTTCCTCTCACACAGCTTAAAAGCCGTGATCTGAACGTGGCTCTCTCACTCCAGCGCTGTCCTACCAGACAGTCTCGCTCCCTTCACCTGATGAAGGCCGCTTGTGTTGTGGCCGAAACGTCGTGAGAATATTATTGTTATTTTATTTTATCAATTTATTATTTTATTCTCATTCTACGTGACTTTACCGAAAGAACCAAAGAAGATGAATCATTGCAGTCACGAAAGCTTTAAATCGAAATTTAACCGCCTCTACGGGGAGGGATTCCACACATCCTTAAGATCATTCAACAGACTTCGGGATAAGAAGGCTCAACTAATCGAGTCTCTCACCTTTCTGAAGAGATGCCGCGACTCTAAGGCTCTTTGTTCCTCTCACACAGTTTAAAAGCCGTGATCTGAACGTGGCTCTCTCACTCCAGCGCTGTCCTACCAGACAGTCTCGCTCCCTTCACCTGATGAAGGCCGCTTGTGTTGTGGCCGAAACGTCGTGAGAATATTATTGTTATTTTATTTTATCAATTTATTATTTTATTCTCATTCTACGTGACTTTACCGAAAGAACCAAAGAAGATGAATCATTGCAGTCACGAAAGCTTTAAATCGAAATTTAACCGCCTCTACGGGGAGGGATTCCACACATCCTTAAGATCATTCAACAGACTTCGGGATAAGAAGGCTCAACTAATCGAGTCTCTCACCTTTCTGAAGAGATGCCGCGACTCTAAGGCTCTTTGTTCCTCTCACACAGCTTAAAAGCCGTGATCTGAACGTGGCTCTCTCACTCCAGCGCTGTCCTACCAGACAGTCTCGCTCCCTTCACCTGATGAAGGCCGCTTGTGTTGTGGCCGAAACGTCGTGAGAATATTATTGTTATTTTATTTTATCAATTTATTATTTTATTCTCATTCTACGTGACTTTACCGAAAGAACCAAAGAAGAATATACAGTGTGTTCCATAAGTCTGGAATCATATGAAAATATTACAAAAAGGCAATAATAACGCTTTTATTCGACACTTCTGCTAAAATGAGCAAGGATGGCAGTGGCTGTAATCGTCGGTGGATCTCCTCGAAGGTCCACTGCGTGGTTTATCTTGTATGGATCCCGTTCCCCTTAACTTTGCAACAAGTTTGCTAACAGAGCTCTGTGTTCTTGGCTCGTGGTCTGGATGAGTCTGTTAAATTCAACAGCGACCTCCCTCTGACTCCGATTTCCTATGAGTATAATTATCTGGACTCGTTCTTCCTTACTATGAGAAATCTTGGGCCTGCAGAAACCAAAAAAATATAAATTCGTTATTTTCCCCCTACAATTCCAGACTTACGGGTCAACCTGTAGATTAGAGACTCCACAACAACTGCACATTACCCAATAATTTCCTATATAAACCATTTAACCTGAATATTTTTACAAACAAATGTTACTGCATTCTTAACGGTCTCGTTGGCATGATTATAATACCGCGATAGCATTGTATTCTTGTGTGAATTTACGTCATTAATAAACATACCTGTATTATTTTCTAGATGTATTTTACTTGATCACCGTTATAAGTGAAATACAGAAATTGCAATTATTCTTAAACCCGGTCATTTTAAAGTCATCCATTTTCAGCGTTTTGCAGTCGTGCCATTAAAGTATTTTATAGATACTCCAGTATTATTCGATATCTGTTGTGGATGTCCTAAAAACAATCCTTTTAAAAACAGAACAATATTGGTTAATATACATGAATTGCTCTCATGAATCTGAAAATGGTAACCTGAAAAAGTACACTTCCCATTACAATGTAATTTGCTCAATACTCAACGAGTAACATCTATTTACTAATTTTTATTCTCGATGGTTTTTCATTTGTTGCTTAGAATCACTGCAGTTTAAATTCCCCTACCTCCTGAACTATACGTTTCATGTCAAGTATTGTTATGTCCTGTAATTAACGTTGTCCTCTCTTTGTCGATGTTGAAGTATAACAGCCCGCAATTACTTCCTGTGTTACATTTAGTAATGACAGGGATTTCAGTGACAAACTTGGGATTGTCCTTGGGAAGCATACCAATTTAATTTAAATTTGTATCAATTTGTAGTATCTTCATGTTCCTGTAGGCTGTAAACTCTGACATTCTCTGATGCTAAACATACCAATCATCCTCTTATACCTGAACCTTGTACCAACCTTTGTATTGAAGTTACCCATTTTGGTGTTGTCCTTTATTTTTTCCCTAATTTAAAATATGGTTAATTTCATGATTATATTTCAGTCATATTTCAGTCAACTCATATTTAAATGATCGTTTTGCAGTGGTTCAAGAAGCTTCATTTTAGCGAATCAACTGTGAATTACAGTTCTCTGGAATCCTAAAACCCCACTCCATAATTCAGTACATTAATGTCTCCCTTCTATGCTAAAATAAGTTGGCTCTGTAAATATATAGAATTCCCTCATTTTACCATCACCTAACTGAGCTCAACTATAGTGGATTGTTCAATTTATAACCCTCGGTCCTGTCTCCAGATTAACAAGGTTTTCCAGTCGGCAAGTAGTACGTTGCAACATTCAAATCCTAAATGCGTATTGTTCTTTCCAAACGGCAATACCCCACACCTTTACACAAAACAGCTCATGCCATGGCTTGTCGAACCAGAACATTTGGGAGACTGGGCCATGGATTAGGCTTAAAGTCCATGGAGGTTATGTGATCATACTTCATTATGCTAGTCAGTGCAGGTTGAAGTCGGGGAGCATAGAACTACGGCACAACATTGGATTACCGCACTGCCCTCTGCTGTCCACCACGTTGCTGCTCAGCCAAACTGCAGTGCAATGGACGTGTAGTATTTACCCATCCAAACATTATCCAGGCTCATGCATGGTAATCCAAGAGATTTGCAAAAGATTTTCAGGCTTATCTAGAAGTTACGCCATGGCCAATCCACTGCTGGATGACATACTTCCCACGCCGCATCCATCTATCACGAAACTGGAATGGTCATTGGATATCAATGCGACGTGGATAATAATTCGCGCAAGCCACTGATGTTACGGGTAAATAACTTAACTTTTTTTTATTGAGAATCATCAGCACTGCAAAGTGACCCACCAAACCGGGGTCAGTCCTTAAAGTGCAACCTTCTTCTTTGTATGGCTGATGTGGTTTGAATTCGTATTAAGGTTAAAGCGAAACCCTGTTAACCCCTTATCAGTGCCTACCTTATTACAGACCAATTCAGACCTTATTGGTCACCCCGTGCCCTTATAAAAATCAACGTTCATCCAACAAAGTCCCATCACAAGGGAGAAACACAAATAGAGAACAAGGCTCACAAGTGACATCATCACATTGATCTCTCTAATGAACAAAACTGGAGGATTTATGCACAAATCTGGCTGTCACCTGATGATGGTAGTTGTAATTATTGGCGAAACGTCGTACTCAGATTGTAAATGCTGTGGTTTTGCTCTCCAACACACCGGTGTTGCTGTACTAGTCACGAATTGGCGTGTTTTGTTGTACGTGACAAACCTTACTAATCGGCTGTGTCGGGTGGTGGCGGGTTTAACGACACATTTATATCTACGCGATCTAACCCTAAACAGAAACTAAATAATGGAAGACAAAAATTAGTTTTGCACGTATTCAAACGGCTGTGTGCCGCACGGACCCGAAAACTAAATTTCCCTGAATACCCCCAAGGGCTTAAACCCGTACGGGTTCTAGATTTGAAGCTTTCGTGACTGTAAGGATCCATATACTCTTTGGTTCTATTCGGTAAAGTCACGTAGGTAAAAAAAACCCGTACGGGTTAACAGCTATGGAAACGCATGGGGGGTCCAACAGTGGGCTCGGCGTGACTCCTCCACGCGATGGACGAGAGAGGACGCGGTTATTGAGAAGGTCCTTGGTGAGTGAATGGGGGTGGCGAGGGTGGCTGTGTGGCTGTGTGGCGAGGGTGGCTGTGTGGCGAGGCGAGTTGGCACGGGGGTGGCGCGACTCGTGCTGCTGGTGGTGCAGTGCTGCGCGCTGGCGCGCCACCTATGGCGAAAAGATCAAACAAATCGCGACGCGACGCCCGCCAGCCCCGCCCCGCCCCGACCATCTTTGTAGGGGGTGAACTCTCCCTCACAAACAGCCCAAGTTGACGTCGTCAATTCACGACGGGCGGGCGAGCCGCGTCGCGTTCGATTGAGCAGGCCAACCCAACAAACACCGCCGGTGATAACTCCGCTACCACCACCACCAACAACAAACCAACCAGCACCAACCCCCCCCCTTCCTTACCCAAGATGGCCGCTGTTTAGGTCGACGCGCGTCGAGTGACGTCTCTCGCGCCCAGCGCTCGCGCGCCGTTCGCTCTCCGCCCCTCCGCCTGTCGACGACGGCGCGGGGTCGCCCCGTCAATGAAGCGGCGTTGCCGCCGCTGCCGCTCGCGTCCCTCCCGCTCGCCGTTGACGAGAGGAAGCCTCATTTTATATATACAGAGAGAGCTCTCCCCCCCCCCCCTCTCTTAGCAACACACACAACCCCAGCTTGTAATTAACCGGAGAGGAGGAGGAGAAGAACAAGAAGAAAAACCCCGCTTCGTTTTTTAACAGTCGGCCCCCTTCGCCATCGTCGGGAGATGAAGAAATTCTTCGACTCGCGGCGGGAGGGGAACGCCGGCGGCGGAGGAGGTGGAGGAGGAGGCGGCGGCGGCGGCAGCAGCAGCGGCGGCGCCTTCGTGGGCCGGGTGTACGCGGTGGGACGGCACCAGGTCACGGTGGAGGAGGTCCTCGCTGAGGGTAAAATTCACGGGGACCTCGATCCCTCCTCTTCGGTCTTCCCACCGTCTGTCTCCCGTCATCATCCGGCATCGGTCATCCCACCTTCCCCGTCTCGTCTTGTTTCCGATGCCATCCGTCTTCCAAATCCGGCTTCCAGGTCTCACCCGTCCTCCCCAACTGTATTCCATCTTGATTTTAAATCGTCGGTTCTCTTTCCTGCTGCGACTTTCATTCGTCAGTTTCGTTCGTGTCGCCTTCTGTCACCCCATCGTTATCCCCGCTCTTCGTTCCCGGCCCGTGCAACCTCGTTCGTTTTCCCATCCGCGTTACGTCCCGTCTCACTTTCTTCCTTCGTCTGCCGTCCGTCCGCCCAAGTGTACTGTATTCCGCCAGTTTCGCCAATTTGTCTTCAATTCGAGTACAGCACTGCACAATCCGCCTGCTAAATTTCTCTCTCATCCGTCTACTTGTCATCCGACTTGCGTTCTACAGTACAACCATTTTTTTTATTCCATCCATTTTCCACCAGTCACTCCCATCTTTCTCACCTGGTCCCCTCGCTTAACATCCGTGCGGCTCCGAGGCCCTTTAGTCTCAATCCTCTATCAGTCCCCAAGTTGTCACCCTTTAATATCCCATCTGTATCAATCCGCATCGCGTCCGTATCCGTCTCCTATCCAACTTACATCCAACTCCCATCCGGCTAACTCGCATTCACCCCAATACCTCTCGTCGCCCACCCCTCATCACCCCTAATTGGTCACACTTTCCATAATTTTCATCATTACTCCATCTCATCCTCTTACATCTCATTCTATTCAACCTCAAGGCCAAATTAGGTCAGCAGGTTTGACAATTTTGCATGGAATAATTGAGATGTTATGGAAATGTAATTTTTTTTTATCCAGAAAAGCCGCTATCATGATCCATGTTTTTATATTAAGCCAATTCTTTTTTTTTACAGTTGTTTTATGTTGGCATTTAGCAGAGAAAATCCACGTATATAAGTTGATAACATTCAAAGGTCCCATTCCAGATGGGTTCACAAACCTATTTGCAATCTCTGGCTTCAATGCAGCCAGCATCGTGGTTTGAGGGTTTTATGAATCTGTGTGACTCACCATACTTGTCTGGCTAAATTATTCTGCCACGTCAATAAAAGTACGTGCATGTCTCATTTGGTTGGTTGTATCTATCCTGTACTTGTATCTTCATGCAGTTTCTAGAACTGCAGTATTTGCAGTATATATAACACAACAGAGACACTCATGGTTAGACATATCCACATACAAGCTGTGTCATTTATTACAACATGTGTATGCAATGTGCTTTGCATTCAATACTTAATTCATATACAGTACTTATCATCATCCCCCGTGCTTTATCCACCGCTGGATGAAGGCCTCCCCAACTTGGCACCAACCCTCATGGTCTCGGATCGATGACAGCTCGCGTGCAAGAAGGTTTTTAATTGTTGGATGCACAATACTAAAGGCGTGGGAAGGCTTTCATCCAGCAGTGGATTGACAAAAGGTTGTATATGTTTTATATGGAGCGACACGTGTATACATAGCAAAGTTGTGTTCCATAGATATACTTTACTGTCGCACAAGCAGTGTCCAATATATGCTGTTTAAGCAAATACAGTATACACAAGGCACTGTATGGACGTAAATATAGTGGTACCTGAGCAAAATCTAACTTTATCATGTTATATGCACTGTGCTGTATAAACCAATACTGTATTTAATCCAGTGGAAGGCATAGAATGTAGAAAATTGTACAGTAATGCAATAAATCCAATTAGGAGGCATATATACTCTAATATAACAAATTGAAAATATGCTAAAATATATTTTATATATTATAGGATATACGCTGAATTCTTGCATCTTATTCTCCATATGTTTTATTGTCTACAGTTAACTACCAGAATCAGAATATTTATACTGGAGGAACCCGATGAGCTATAAAGCTCTTTTTCACAAATGTCCAGTAGAATTTGTTTAAATAAATAGTTCAACCGATATATGCAGCTGTGTATCCTAGGCGCCTCTATGTTGTCCACAGCCAGTTTGTGTGGCATTATCATTGTCTAAAGACCTAGTGATACCATTCGCAAGAGGTGCAAAAGGTATTTACAATGACCCGCTAATAAATTGTAAATGCGATCGATACAGTACTGTGCTGTCGCTTTGTAACTGCGGCTTTTCAGGTCTGCATTGCAAAAGAATATGATATCGTTGAATCATTGTTTGCTTCAATAAAAAGGTCCTTGTGGATTCAATAAAAACAAATGTGGTTATGAAGATGGCTAAATAAATAATTGTAATGTTGGCATTTCGTGATGAGTCCACCTTAAGCAGTCGACTTGTGTGAAGAAAAAAATGAGCTGAAAATACGATGCCGTCACCCGTGGTTTAGGTTTGATGATCTTGTTTTCATAGAATAATACATGTTGTAGCCATCAACCCAACACTGGTTGTTGCAATGTTAGGAAGGTATCATGTTGCTGGCTTTTCCTGTAGTGTTGTGTAATATTCATCGCCACAAATCGCTCACATAGTTGACTTGTTTATTAGGAATAACGATCACGGTACGTACTGTACTTTCATTTGGGCAGATATCCATGATAATTTCTGTTTGGAGATTAACTGTGCTGTATCATTGTACAGCTTGTTTCTATCGACAGAAAGAACTCCAATGTAATGTTGTGTACCTACTGTGTGACTGCCTGTATTGTGGGTATATTTACTAGGACAATGTTTCATTTATTATCATGTTTGTAAAATTATCTAAGTTATTGTTCAAAGGGGCGATACATTAATTGGCCAGAGTTTGTGCTTAGAGCCTTAAATGTTTCAGTGATTTAGACAAGAAACGTGAAAGCAAGAGAGCTTCCATTTAATTTAATCTGGGCTCATCCACGGTTGAGTTTTGTTCCAGTGTGAGCCATTCATTGACAGGCTGTTGTATAAGTGTTTCAGCATGACGTGGCCAATGTGGTTCTTTTTAAGTGTTTAACTAGCAAACTGGATGCAGTCCAATACTTATTTAATAATCTCAGATGCAGACATACCTTTGGGAACAAAATAAAATACGATGCATTTTCGTAAGAATATGCACAAATAATTGGCAATGTAATGGCATTAGCTTTGTATCAGCAATGAGTTTAAATAAAATGTGGCACTTTTAAATCCATCATTTGAAGAACAACGGAATTGAAACATCCCTCTTTTTACATTTGAATGTATAAAATGCGGTAGGTAAAATTGTTGGAATTTGCGGGTGGTTTCGCAATAACATTTGTGGAATGCTTGGTAATGTTGGGTCGGTTTCTATGCAGCTGTCCCTTGCACAAGCTTGCCAATGACCAGCGAAGAAGTTCAGAAAGGAACACAGACGTTTTTACCTGCTTGACTGGGAAACCGCGGAACACATTCCTAAATTTGCATCGCATTTTACACACACCGCGCGTTAGTCAGTGCTGTTATGTGTCACTGAACCACAAAAATATATAAAAATTAAATTAAATTTTGATTTAAAGCTTTCGTGACTGCAGGGATTCATATTCTTGGTTCTTTCGGTAAAGTCACGTAGAAGGGAAGCAAAATAATAAAAATATAAAACAATACAATTCTCACGACGTTTCGACTGCAACACAAGCAATCATCATCAGGTGTGAAAACCACAACACACCTGATGATGATTGCTTGTGTTGCAGTTGAAACGTCGTGAGAATTTTATTGGTTTATATTTTTATTTTATTATTTCCCTTCTACGTGACTTTACCGAAAGAACCAAGAAAAATAAAATTATTTTGACAGGCGCTTGAGATAAAGTCATGTTGCTTATGCAACACGTTTTTCAGGATGGGCCACTGCTGTTGGATGTTTTACAGTTTAAATCACTGCAGGCTATCAGGAAGGGGGCCCAACAGAGCCGGTCTTCCAGCCTGGCAGTGTTAACATGTCACAGCGTAAATGTGCTGTTTTGTGCGAAAACATGTGTGATGTCGCACATAGAATCCCATCGTAGATTTACTGGTTTGGTTAAAGCTGGTTAAAGCTTGTAACTGAAAGAAAACAGGACGTGAAAACCGGTTCTTAGAAGGCTATTTCTTCGACGACTTAAAACCTTGTTTTGTATTTTGTCGAAATAGGAAAGTAAGGTAGAATCATAGTGTAACTACTGGTAACGTTGTTTTGTTTTGTCCGGTCAGATTGACATTCTAACATGTCAGAATGCAACAGCTTAGCACTGTACTGTAGAAATAACTCCCAGTTCTCAATGCCCTCTCTTATCACGTACCTTTTACCCTTAATGAGCTGATATGTATGCTCGCACAGGACCTCACTTGTGTAAACTTAAGTGAATGTTATTTAAAGGTAACATTTTATTGAATGTATGTATGTTGAACTTATTTTGCACCGTACGTAACCAACCGTGCCCACCAGAGGTGTGGGAAAATTGAAGCACATAAACCAGAGGTTTACAATAACGTTCAGGAGTTTTGCGCAAACCATTTCTGCATATCCTATTCTGTACCGCCTATGACTAAATGGGTCGAAATGCACTTAATTCCATCAGTTCTTGGAAAATATCTTGAGCAGGATGGAACCTTGGATAGGTAGGGTGACCTCCATGCACACAAAGGGTTGTTATACGCTGCAGTGGGCCTAAATGATGGGCAGCAGAGGGCAGTGACACAACATACAATGTTGTACTGTATGCCTGTGCTTCTAAGCCTATGCTGTCCACCTGACGGACACACGTGGTAAAGTTTGGTAAAATTAACTCCGTAATGCACACGCCATGGGGATGCCCGAATCCATCCTGCGTTGTCTGTATACCTCTTCAATTCCCTTTCAAAAATAAATGTACACTTGTACATTTTGTCATCGTAAGGCTGGTTTACAACAAGCTCATCATCCGCTTATGCACTGTGGTTTTTCTTTGCAGCATTATACGCTATTTTATGGTATATTGTCAAAGGCTAGTGTTTAGTTCTTTGAACT